ACAGGTTTCAAGCTTCTTTTCATTTTATCACAAGCAGCATTTAGATGTTGAGGGAAAATATAATCAATGCAATACTCACACATTATTTGTTTATTAAATAATTTTATTAAAATATTCAAATAACTGTTTGCCTCTTTCTTCTAAGCTTTTATGGCAGCTATATAGGCCACCGGTGGCCCATTAGCGTGGGGACCCAAGGCGCGTGGGTTCGAAACCCACAAGGGGACAACATTACATACATCCGGAGCCAACTTCTCATCTCCTAAAATAAGGGGATGTGAACTTGCCAAGTAGATACCTTCGGGCGAACCTACTACCTGATTTAGCTTATTGTTTCTGGGCTGGAGACCTGTATCGCGAGTACCAAATCCTGTCTTTCATTAATTTTCCTATGTTTCTGTTATATTCTTGACATCATTCAACACTAAGCATTCCTCTTGTATAACCAACTCTTGCTTGTATTTAACATTACACAAGGACTCGTCATAAGCACTGCTTGCATACGAGTATAACGGAAGAATAATAATAATAATAATACAGCTGTATAAATACATTTGAAAATGTTGTCAATTATTTTATTATTTCTATTATTATTGTTGCTGCTGATATTGCTGTTGTTGTTGTTGCTGTTGTTGTTGTTGCTGTTGTTGTTGTTGCTGTTGTTATTGTCATTGTTGTTATCATTATTATTGTCATTGCTGATGTTGATGTTGAGGTTGTGGATCGCTGATGTTCTTGATATATTGCAGACAAGATATTTTAAAATTAAAATTTTTTTTATTAAAAACTTTCTATTGCAATTGATAAGATACTAATCTTGCTGAAGATGGAGAGAGCTGAATGAGCTGGAAATAATCTTCACAATATGATATCATTGCAAAAAAAAGAAAGAAAAAAAGTAAGAAAGTAAAAAAGAAAAAAAAAGAATATGACAAATTATTCTCTTTATACACATTGTTGATTCATTTTGCAGATTGTTATGCAATAAATGTGAATGCTTTCATATTCTATCTCTGAATACAATCAGTGATTTCATCTTTTCTCAGAATAAATACTTTCTGTGCAGGCTATTGCTGAATGAATTACAACTATTTTGAATACAAAATCATTTCTATTAACTAGAAATAAATGTTCAACATATTGTCAAAAATATATCTATAAAATTCAAGATGAATGAAAAGAATTTCTGATGCAGCAAAATCAATAAATATTCCAGTCAAAATCATACAAATTGCAAAATAGAGAATATGACAACTTTTCTCAGCAAATATCAAAGCAAATATATTCTAATTATATATGTTAAAATATATATTAACTAATTTATATATAAAACTCATAGAAAACTAAATATATTGAATAGAAATAAATTTTATCAAAACTTTTCAAATTATATCACTGATCTACCTTTTATTGAAAATATCTCTGAAAATTTGATCTTTTTTCACACCTTCTTCCGCGCGTCTTTCATCAAACATTTTTTTATTATTGTTAAAATATTTTGAATCGCCTTTGTAAAGTCATCTGAGCAATTTGCTGATATTCAGAAATATCACTCATCAAATCTCAGAATGTCAGAATATTTTGCCATTGCAGTATAACTGCAGTAAAGTTTTCATTTATATCAGCATCATCAAATATTTTAATTTGAATTGTCAGATTTATAAATATTTTTATTTTTTAAAATCAGTTTTTAATTTCTCAATCTGAAGTTTTCAATTCAGTGTCTTCAATTGATGAAAATTCAACTTACATTTCATATACCATTGTTTTCATTCAGAGGATCGATTAAAGTCAATAACTTTTTACACTCAGTAAAAAATCAGAAAGAACTTTTCAGTGGTAAATAAATCATAAAAGTATTCAAAAATGAGTAATTTTTTATAGCAATTATGCAATTCAATTACCATTGAACTTCCTCTACTCTTTGCTTTTTCCCGTTGAACATGATTCTATATTGATATATGATTAGTTAAGTTGGTCAGAAAAGATTTGATATTCTGCTGAAAAGTTACTTTTTTTATTAAAATCTAAATATTGAAATACTACTTACCTTTATTTCTTTGAGAGTTTAAGACTTTCATGTTTTAATCGCATCTAGCATTATCATTCTGCTGAATGAAAAGATGTATGAAGTTTTATTTTTCATTTTTATCACACTTAAAACTGTTTAATTCAAATTGTCTTTTGTGAAAGAAAGAAAATATATTTATTTTGTTTTTAAATGTAAATGTTACTCTGTCAGCCGAATTTCCTTTTTATACATTTCTGCATTTAAATGCTGGGTTTGATGATGTCTTTTTAATGAAATGTTTGATGTCAGCAATGAGTTTGACTTCTCATATGTGTGATATTTTCCATTATTGCCACTATGTTCATTCTATTGTTCAGATATATCAATATTAGATTTCTTTTGAAATCAGCGATTTATCACATTAAATCTATCAGATGGGAGAGTTCAGAGGGATCTAGTAAAGTAGAGTTTATAATAATATTCATTTTTAAAATTTTGATGGAATTTTAATAATTTACTGATATATATTTCAGTGATTTGCAGAAATATAATCTTGAAACAAAGAAAATAATTTG